TTTGGGCATTTTCTCATACTTTGGGTATAGTATCTTGAAGCACTTTTGGAGGCAAAGATTCTATAGGCTCTATTTTCTCTCCTTTGTAAATACTCTGTTTAGCCCTTGGTTACAAATAGTTTCACCTAGTTTAGAAAGCACTTCAAGTGTGTAGTTCTTGTCTCCTGCCACCAAGATTTACAACTCCTCCAGGGTAGGAAATGGGTTTTCTGCAAGGTATTGGGCCGGCCCTGCTGGTCTAGTGGTTAAGTGGGTCTCACTGCTGTGGCCCGGGTTCATTTCCCAGTCAGGGAAGTACACTACCCTTCTGTCAGTTGTCATACTGTGGTGGCTGTGTGGGCCTGTGATGCTGAAAGCTATGCCACTGGTATTTCAAATACCAGTAGGGTCACCCATGGTGGACAGGTTTCAACGGAACTTTCAGACTAAGACAGACTAGGAAGAAGGATCTGTCCACCCACTTCCCAAAAATTGGCCATGATAATCCTGTGAATAGCAGTGAAGCATTGTCTGATACAGCACTGGAAGGTGAGAGAATGGCGCAAAAGGACCAGGCATGCTGGGCACAGGGTCACTAGGGGTCAGAATCCAGTCAACAGCACTAACAACAGCTGTATCCAACAGCACTTCTAAAGTATATACAAATAGTCTTGTCAGGATGGTGGGAACATGGGCCATTTTTTTCTTTTAAAAGATTAAAATGTGTTTTAGGGGCCAGCCTGGTGGCATAGTAGTTAAGTTTGCACACTCTGCTTCCATGGCCAGGGGTTCATGGCTTCAGGTCTTGGGCACGGACCTACACACCACTCATCAAGCCATGCTGTGGTGGCATCCCACATACAAAATAGAGGAAAATTGGCACAGATGTTAGCTCAGGGCCTATCTTCCTCACAAGAAAAAAAAATGTGTTTTATTATTATATTTGTACAAAGACAAATTAAATATATCAAATACCCTAAGTGTCCTGTTGGGTTCTGTCACTTTGGCACCCTCTACGTCACATAGCCCCACATTAGCTATATGTGAGGTACACAACAGACTTGTTGACTTCTCCCAGAATTTTACAGAAAAGTCAATCACAGATTAACAGTCTCCTGTTTCCATTCTAAAATGTTTTGTTGTCGGAAAGCATCCAATGACAATATGCCTTTGGAAGTGCTTGAATCTTTGACTCCCTAATTCATATTGCTTAAAATATTTTTAAGCACCTAACTGCCTACAGGAAGTGGTAAAAAATCGTTACAGAAATATGTTCCACTAAGACACTAAAAACATGCAGTCTAAGGCAGCCTGTGATATGAACATAGGAGGAGAAAAGAGATAATAAAATATAAATTCCAATTGTAAACTTTTCATGTCAAATATGAGTCAGAGATCAGAGGCATTCTGAGTGTGGGGAGCAAGAGCGCTCTGAGAAGAGCATAGTGACGATGACCGTGGGAGTCTGCAGTTCAGTCTGTGTGGGGCTGAAGAGAAGTGATCAGACCTTCTTGGGAACATCTTTGGGAATTGTGAGATGTCACAGATTATTTTAATTGTGGAGGGAGGAGGATTAGTAAATTTTTTGGAGAAAAAGGATGGCAGTGCAAGCATATAAGGAAGCTTTGGAGACACAGGGACCCTCTAAGTCAATAATAATTCAAGCACTTCTTAAAGTGCACAACGTACTAACATCATTCATTCAACTGACATTAATTGAGCACCAGTTGTGTGCTTTACCTAAACTTACCTTTACTTGGGTCCTTTACCTAAACTACACTCATGTGGAGGTGGTGTCATTAGCCTTATGATACAGATGCAGATGGTTGTATGTGAGGTACAGAGAAGTACGTGGCCTGGCCTTCCCCTCAGGGAGCTTCAGTAAAGTGGAGAACATAACATTTACGCATATGAAACATCTGCTAAATCAAATATACTAAACATCAGCTTCCAGAACTGTTAAAGGTTGAGTCATTCTGGAGAGATGTCCAGAGTTTCTGGACATCTGAGAGGTTGTCCCTTAAAACATAAGATGAAAATTAGTAACTGTACTTAGCTCTAATATAGCAGTTTCCTCAAGATCTGCAGAAGTGTTTGTATAGCGTGCTTTATTTTCTACACTAGAATCCTTTGTATTTTATTGTGGCTGTATTTTATGGTTTTTCTGTCTCTTCCTTTGTACTTGGTTTGTCAATGTACCTTTTAATTTGCTGATGATTATCTAGCATGGGTTTGAGAACAAACAAATTAATCTTATTAGGTTTGGATGTAAAATGCCCAACAAATCAACCCTAAGGAAGTCCGTGGGTTTCTTCTTTTAGGACAGTTCCCCAGCCTTTGAATAGACTGCTTGGAGCCCCTCTCCTCCTCCTTGTTTCAAAGCTTCTTATCTGAGCCTTGATTTTATTCTGGAGAACTGAGAAATCAAGAGAACTAAGTGCTAGATGGACAATGTATTATTGTATATTAAATCTGCTAAACTGAATATAATTGAGCATTGAAATATTACAAACATGATTTTTGAAGTTATGAATAGAAAACAGGTGAACAATTTTAAGCAATGGCGTGAGAAGAGAGTAGTAATTGTGTAGAAGTCCTTCGTCTGGAAAGTAAGGACTCAGAGTTTATTGGAAGCACTTTAGAAATTATCTGTCCTCCTTTTTTGAAGGATGATAGGATGATACTGAAGCCCAGAGAAGCTAAGCGACTTGTTAACTTCCTCAAGCTCTCACAGAACCAGTTCTGAAATCTGGTCGTTTGATTCCTACGTCCAGTTCTTGACATATTTCTTGTCACTGATAAATGTTTCTGAATTGAACCAAAGAGAGTATATCGGGAGGTCCAGCCTTAAACATTTACTTACATGACAAAAGAAGGAGAGGAAGGCGAGGACCCCCATCATCCCAGCCCCAGCCCCCCCTTCCCTCTGCTCTACTGAGGGCCTCCTCTTAGAGATCCTCCACTAGGGAAATCAGCACCTGACTCCCATTCCTGATGGTGGCAGGCCAGGGCACCTGGACCAACCACCCGGAGCTGACGGTGTACTAAGTTACCACTAGGCTAAAAAGGAAGGGAAAGGGGAGACCTAGAGAAACAAGAGGATTCTGGATGCTGCTTTTGCCATGAGGGCATTTGCTGATTTGGGCCAAGAGATTTTTAAAATCAGCTTTATTGGGGTATAATTTATATTAAATGAAATTCTCCCATTTTGAGTGTACAGTTTAATGAATTTTGACAACTCCTTCCACTACCAAGAAATGTGACATCTCCATCACACCCCCAAGTCTCCTCATGTCCCTTTGCTGTCCACCCCCTCCCTCCACTCCAGGCTCAGACAATCACTGATCTGATTCTCGCCACTGTAGTTTTGCCTTTTCTAGAACTTCACATAAATGGAATCACACAGTACAGAGTCTTATGTCTGACTTCTTTCATTAACCTGTTAATATGGTGAACTGTATGGATTGGTTTTATTTCTTCCTTAAATGTTTTGTAGAATTCAGTGGAATCCTCTGGGCCTGGGGTTTTCTTTGTGAAAATGATCTTCCTACATAAACTGTAAGAGGAATTAAAGTTGAATTCGGTGAGGAAATAGAAGTTACCTACTCGATGCTTGCTAATCTTTTGGCCCTAAAACAATTACACTGTATGCCACGTGGAGAACTGTCAGCTGATGGTGCCCAGCTGTTGTTGCTCGTGACGTTTGAAGGGATCACAGACAGTGAGAGTGGTGTCAGAAGTTTGGAGATGCACAACGGTGGTTGTAAATTTTGAAATGGTGAGCAAATTATAGACCAATGAGCTTGACACTGATCTTAGGAAAAGTTCTTGAATGAATTATTAGAGGAAGCATTTCATTTCTGAGAACCTAGAAAAGGAGTGAGTCATACTAGGCATCAGCTTGGGTTCCAAAGGAGCAAGTCAGAACAGGTTGGGTACCTGGTAGAAACTCAGAAGACATTAATGAAATGAGTGAATAAATTACCGACTCTATGAGTAGACAAATTCTCTTCTGTTGACAGACCACAAAAATAGTAGTTCAGGAAAGTAGAGCAGAGAGTACAGCTGGCTCCCAGCAAAACGCTGGATGAAGTCTGCATGGCTCAGTCGTGTATATTGAGTGTCCACGGTGGGCCAGCCCTTCTGTCAGTTATTGTAGGTGCAAACATGATGAGTACATGGTTCCTACAATTTAGATTTAGACTTGTACCTCCAAACAGCCTAGTATCAAGGTGACGTGGTGAGTGATGCGATAGAGCACTGCAGAGGCTGCCTGGAGAACTCAGACCCTGCAGGAAGGGGCGCCTGGCTCAGTGGGGGCTCAAGGAAAGCTTTCTGGTCTTGAATGTTGGTGGCTCTGTCTGCACCGTCAGCTCTGCAGACACGCCCTGCAGTGTGGGTTTTACTTTTGGTGCTTTGCTTTTTAATTTCCTTATCATCCTGGGTAGCTTTCATCCTCCTCTTCAGATCCATCCACCTTATCCAGAGGAGCTTCCTCCCAGATTTTAGTATTAGAGTGTTGCTCAGAGTTCATTTCCATTTGTATGTTCTCCTGAACTCCTTGGATATTTTAATGGGAAATTGAGAGCCAGAATTAGAGACTGTGTCCAATTGACTCTTATTATTATATCAGGATTACAGCACTCCATGGACTGGCTTCTCTGAGTGGGTGTCCCATTATGGTTTTGGATATTGTGTCAACACACTAGACACAAGAGAATCTTAAAAAAAAAGAGCCCAGACACAGTGATCTCCAATATTTTCACCACCAATGACCCCTGTTATTTTCATCCCTTGTGCAAACTGGGTTTTAAGAGATATCTTATTAATTATTTTTGATAATTAATAGAAATTAACTTGAGACACATGCCTGTGCCAAATAGAGTTTCTGAATTGCATAAAATATCTGGTTGGAATTCATATAATTTAGCTAAAAGCAAAAATGTATAGTGAGCACTTATTGAGAAGTTACTGTACGCCAGTCCCTGCCCTAAATGCCTTCCTTCCATCCAGTCAGGCGAGCCTCACATCATTTGAGGTGGGAGGTAGATACTGCTGTCATACCTATTTTACTGATGAGGAAACTGAGGTTCAGAGAGGTTGAGAAAATTGGACAAGTTTTCATAGCTAGTGAGTTGAATTTCAGGCAGTCCAGCTCCAGACTCCAGACTCTTAACTTTGTAATGCATAGTTGATGCTGGAATTAGATCAAGTGGTTACTGGAGTATAAATGAATGATTTCTGTTGGACTTTCTGAAACAATGACAAAGCACATAGACATCCATTACTGCTCTGGGGACACCTAAGTAGAAGCCTCTACTCTAAAACTTAGAATGCTTATTAGTATCCTGAGCCTTGCGTTGAATAAATGTGGCATTCTCCACATCACCCTCTGGGAACCCGGAGAACGCTAAGGCGTGATCAGATACAACCACAACATGGTAACTGGGAACACGCAGAACGGGGCAGCCTTACCAAGGGTGCTTACAACCTAAGCAGAGTTTCATTTCTAAAAGCTGGGCTTATTTCAAAGAGAAACACCTCACCCAATAGTCTATTATCCTGCAAATATGTATTCAAGGACATATGAGTAATTCTATTTACCTAATCATCGCTAATGGCTACTTTGGATCTATGACAGCTGACCGTGTAAACACGGCTCTTCGATCCTTCTCGCGGTGCGATGCTGCTCCCCAGACCAGCACAGCTTCTTCAGGGAACAGGATTTCCTAGAAGCAAAATCTGATGCGTATCAGACAGGGCTCAGGGTGCTATAGGAGTTTATTAGGTCATTTCAGATTGTTCTCCTCGGAGCTAAATGTCAGAATATACCAGGGAATTTGGGCACCACTAAAATCTTAATATCAATAAATGTAAAACCTAAACGTTGATTTTTTAAAAATGAGAACAGGGTCAGCATGATTCTTCATGGGCAATAAATAGATAATAGGCAAGGGGAAGTAATTTAAAAGGAGTTTGTGCAGCCAAACCAAATACACTAGGTAGCAAAGTTATGACAATGCTGATTACTACACAGCAAAATCGAAATTGTCGATCCTGTCCAGCGGGAGCACAGACGTGATCCCAGCATATCAGGGCGTGCTGAGGGATGATGAGCTTGGCTGGTGCCGTGGGCCTCTTACCCACCTCCGTGATCCAGCTTCGCGTGGAGTCCCCTCTCCCTTGCTGTGTCAGTGGGAGCACAGCACACTCCCGAGGCCCTGCTCCCCTCCTGTGTTCGTGTGCCAGGCCTGCTTTGACCCAGTGCCCGAACGGGGTGGTTTCAAACAACAGAACGGACCTGCCTCACAGTTCTGGAGGCAGGAAGTGTGAAATCCAGGTTCCAGCAGGGCCCTGCTCCCTCGGAGGTCTGTGTGTGTGTGTGTGTGGGGGGTCCTTCCTTGCCTCTTGCAGCTTCTGGGGGTGGCCAGCAACACTTGGCCTTCCTCGGATCACAGCCGCCTTGCTCCAGTCTCTGCCCCTGTGGTCACGTGGCCTTCTCTCCTCGTGCGTCTGCACAGGGCGTTCTCCCTGTCTCTCTCTGCCCTTCTTATGAGGATGCCAGTCATGTGGGGTCAAGGGCCCACCCTAATCCAGTATGACCTCTTCTTCACTAATTACGCCCTCAAGGATCTTATTTCCAAATAAGGTCACGTGTGAGGTAGTGGGGGTTAGGACTTTGACATGTCTTTCTGGGGGACACAATTCAACCCATAATAGCCCCCTTCCCTTGCCTGAGACCTTCTCCTGTCGCTCCTTGCTCTGGGTTTGTATGGCCTGTAGGCCTCTGCTCCTCATTTGCACCTGTACCACTTGTCTGTTCCTCACCACGTCCACCTCACATCATTGGCTGTTATCAGATGCTGTGTGTCTGGTCTCCGGAATTTTATTGTAAACTCTCTGATTTCTAAAGAATTCTCCCTCAAATTTATATCCACAAGGCACTTAAAACAGTGATGTGATATCAGCAGCACCTTCTACTTTTAGAGTAACTTTATACTTTTCAGAATTCTTTCACAATATAATCTAACATGTGCTCTCAAGCTGCTGGTGTGGTGGACTGGATTGCTGACATTATCCTGGTTTTATGTCCGAGGGAGGTAAGATTCAGAGAGGTAAGGTGACAGAGTGAAATAATGAGCCGCATGGCTTGGGCCAGTCCCAGCTGCCTTTCATTGAAAAATTTCTTCTTCCTCCCTTCATTCCCTACAGCTTGATTATTAATGAGCCAAGAGTGCCTCTGGAAAGAGAAACACCCTCCTTCCTCTGAAGGCAAAGTGAGTGAGAGGAGAGAGAGAGGAAAATGCCTGTGAATCCAGAGTCTGCCTTTTCCACGAGCACGAGCAGGCTCCGGGAAGGTCAGATAACCACCCAGCCCTCCTTCTGTTTCTTCAATCAGTTCTTGATCTTTTTCTCCACCATAACAATGTAAAATCTCATTTTTTCTTAAACTTCTGGCCCTACCCTGTACTCTCTCAGTCTAAGCTAGCTGCCCCTCCTATGCTTTTTGTTTTAATAAAAAGTATCTGGTGGAAACTCCTCCAACATCTTTCCACCTACCTTACAAAGGGCTCGAAGTGGGAGCGGAGAAGAAAGGTGGTGGGTGTGAGCAGGGACAGAAATCAGTGGCCTCCTGACCGAGGGCCAGCTGGCCAGGGTGCGTCAGCTGGCAAGACTGTGCCGGCCTCTATGTGCACAAGTGCTGCGGGGTCTGGTCTCCATCCCCAGGGAGCCACAAGTGCCAGAGGCAGCCCCCTTTGAGCAGGAGGAGGGCAGATGGAGCAGCCCCTGTTGGGGATGAGGCTCTCGTGCTGCAGAAGCCTGCTGTGGACACCTGTTCCCATTGTCTTGCTCCGTTTCCTGGGACTCACAAAGGAGAGCTTGGAAAATCATAATCAGCTTAGAGAAGACAAAAGAGGTCCTCCCTCCTGGGAGGGGGAAAGGAGAGATGAAGAGGGAGAGGGAGAGAGGGGAAGGCGGGGGAGGAAGGAGAGAGGAAGGAGGTGAGAGGGGAGAGGAGAAAGAGAGAGAAGGGACAGAAAGAAAGAGATCATGAGAAAACGCTAAGGAGAAACACTTCCCTCTGAGAAGCGGTAAGTTGATAGTCAGCTGTGAGATGCTGCTTGCTACTCCACATGGACACATTGTAACGAGGCTTTGTAACTCCTGAGTCCTCTCCTTGATACTGTTGCCTCAAGACTCCCTCTGTTTCTCTGGCGGCGTCCTCTAGCAGTACTAGTAAGGTGATTTAATTTAAAAGTGAGAGAAAGAGAAATTGATTGAGAGAAATTGTATCAACAATAATGGGACAACTTAAGCTGAAAGGCACTCCACGTTTAGAAGCACAATCTGTTTGCACAGATGAGGAGTGCAAAGAAAATCTGGGCGCAGGTTCTTTGAGACCGGATGACAGGCTAAGTGGGTGGCTGAGGCCCTTAGAGGACTGATAAACCCTAAATGAAAAGACAAGTGGAAGAGCAAGACTTGCATGCAGTGTGATTCTGTCTGCCTTACACACCCACCCTCTCCTCAAGTGTGCACGCTCTGTGGCACACACAGAAACACACACATGTGTGTACACCAGTCTCCTCCAACACTCCTGGATCTGGGGTCTAGCTGGAATGTGAGGACTGGAGCTCTGCGCAGGATCAGGGTGGGGCAGCCCCACTGCTCTGGGTCAGATATAATCTGAGGATCCCCACGCAGGAGTGAACAAGGAGTCTTGAAAAAATGTCACAAGTCTTGAGGATTCAGGGAGGCTTAGAACTCTCAAAGTAATGAGGGATTCAGGCCGTGCGTCCTTGTGCTGTGCTACTATGATAAAATAGATCAGAGGTAATTGATGGTTATTAGTCTGGAAGAGCCAGTGAAGGGCTGAAGCCAGGAGGCCCAAGTGCTCCCTGGCCTCTTGTCTAAGCAAGCGCTTCCCTGGGTACCCGCGTCCCCTTCTGCAGAGGGAACTGTGTTCTGTGCTTTAGGTCAGGCCCTCTCAGACTCTAATGAGCATACAAGTCACCTGAGATACTGTTAATGGGAAGATTCTGATTGAACAGTTCTGGGGTGGGCCTTGAGATTCTGCATTTATAATAAGATCCCAGGCTGTCGGAGTCTACATGACACCTTTACCTAACTTAGAAAAAGGTACCCCACTCTGGGCAGCCCTGCAGGTACCTTTACAAAAAGAATCCTTTTCCCACGTGATTTGGCTAGTGATAGGCAGGCTGGATTTCAGACCCTGCACTTCTTCAGACAGACTGCGTTTGAACAGTGCACAAACTGCTCAACTGTACAGGGCAGTCCCAACCACATAGACAGCTGTCTTCTGGACTACTGCTAAGACAGCCCTGCTTATCCATCAGAGGTGGTCCGCTGCTCTCTGTCTTTGATGGCACAGCTCAGCCAAGCCTATCAAGTCAGCCTTTCCAACTCTCATTCTTGCATAAGAATACCTGTTTTTCTTCGGAGACTACCAAAATGACTCATGGGAATGAGCTGATTCCTTCTCTACCTAAAGAAGAGAGCTTGGACTCTGGTTCCTCACCCTCCAAAGTACCCTTACTCAGCCTAGAGCTCTAAGTAGGGACTATGTCATTGTTCCCCATCCACTGCTTCTGCTGGAGTCCTTGCATTTGGCGTTTTATACCTCATGTCATTTATTAATCCAGGATCTGAACAGTTAAGCTCCTGTAGCTGTTCTCTGTACGTGATTATTATCTGGTTTGCTCAAACCTTTTGTTTCTCATCAAATATTGCTCCTCCTTTATAGGATACCGGACACAAAGGCAAGGAGCCCAGGCCCTGGAATTTCACTAAGCACTGTTTACCTTGGACGGCAGGCTTCAGCGCAGTGCTGGACGCTGACAGGTTCAAGCCACACCTCTGCCCCAGCTGCCTTGTTCTGTCCTATCACTGGGGAGAAATCCAAAATACTTGTTTGTCCACCCAGTGCTGCCAAATGCTTTCCTTTATAGGAGCTTGAGGTCGAGGCTGGGAGAGTGATGGAACCAGCCAGGAGAAGCCCCCCCAGTGAAACTGAGCTCAACTGTCCTGGGCTTTCTTCAAAGGGTCGATGCTGGCCGTTCACAAATCTCCTGAAAAGAAACTTTTGGCCAAAGACAAAAAATTCTGGCTTCTCTAAGGAGCAGATTAAAAGGTGCAACACAGTAGAACACAAAGGTCCCTGGGCCGGTGATGAGGAGGTTTCAGTTGCACTAACTAGGGCTGCTCGCCTTGATTCCTCTCGGTTACGTCTGGACAGTGAAGCCACAGAAGTCAATAACGTGGAAGACCCCGCTCGTTTTCACACTGTGAGAGTCTGTGAAGTTTTCTGGCTTCAGCAATGTGTTTTCTTTTCTGTTAAGCTAAATTTTGAAGTTAAAAAAAGTCGTGCATGTTAAGACAGTGACATTAATTTGTAATCAAACGATAAAATTACACTGCGTGTTAGTTCAGAAACAATGAGTTGTGGGCTTTAACAAGTTTTAATTCCATTGCTTTTTAGCTACCAAATTTAGATGTTGGGTTTCTATCAGTAATAAAAGACCAACAACCCAATGGAAAAAATCAGGAAAGGATATGAATGGACTGCTCACAGATAGGAAAATATGAACAGCTCTTCGACACGTGAAAATATGTTCAGCTTCATTCATAATAAGATAAATGCAAAATAAAACTAGTCTGTGTTATCCTTTATCACCTGTGAGATTAGCAAAGATGAAACAGTTGGATAAGAAAAGCTAAATGAGCTACCAATAAGGAATTGTTCAAATAAATTATAGTACATCAGTCCTATGAAATAATATCTAGCTGGAAACAAACAAACCGAAACAGAGAATAAGGAAGCTTCTCTACGTACTAATATGGAAAATTTTCCAATATCCTACAGGTTACGGTTCAAACATGGGATGAAAAGCAAGCTAGAGCCTGGCGTGTGAACAGCTGGGTGGGTTGCGTTCAGCGCTATGGTGTCTGTGTTCCCTGCGGGTGTGTGGCTGGTGGGACGCATACTCAGCAGGCTTTTCTTCAGGGTGTGTGTAGGCGACGTGGGCAAGATGGGGAAGGCCTAGATCAGAGGCCTAGTGTGTTGCACTTGAGTATTTCCCTCTTCATCCTCTTGCCCGCCCCGCTCCCCTCAACCCCCGCCACCCTCTGCTGTGGTGGGACAGACTGGAGCCCGTTTAAATAAAAACTGCTGCTCCCTCACTCTCTCCGACCTGCACTGAGGAGCCCCCAGTGCTGGCATGTAGCTCACGGTGCTTAGACTGCAGCTGCGTCCTGGGCGTGAAGGGCACCCTGGGAGGAGGAAGTGAGTGTGGGGATGGGAAGAGCTGAATCATTCCAGAAGGAGCTCCAGAGCTAGATGGGCTAATCAAAGGGGAGCAGAGCTCTGGGAAGACAATGCATGTCCTTGATGGAAATACTGGGAATATATCACGAGGAACCTGTGAGCCAAAAGCAAGAAGTTTTTGGGTCAGCTGAAATCAAGAAAAGCATTAATTCCCTTTCAAAACTGCCCAGGGGCTCACCATTTCTCCCCATTTTCCCCAAGCCTGCAGCTTCCCTGAGACGCTCTTGGAAAGTTGCTTTTGCTTCCGGTGGTTTGGTCTGTGACTTCCTGGCTTTGCTTTCTCTGATCACACACTCTCACTTGTTAAAGAATCTTTCTGACACTGTCATTGATCTTCAACAATATATTTTCTGACCTTTCACTGGGGCCTTGGGAGGCAAGAGGGTTGTTACTGAAAGAAGTTTTGCTGGCGTAATTGTGCATCTCGAGGCTGGAGGGAGAGGAGGTTGTGGTGCCCGCCCCTCTCCTGAGGGTGTCGTCGTCATTGTTGTGTTGTTGTCCCTGTTGTCCCATCGTCCCTGTCCCCTGTCCCCCGTCCCCGCATCCCCCCCACCCCCGGCAGCAGCCTCTGCACCCAGCTCTCCTGGGTGGTTCCAGCACCTGCTCCCTCCACTTGCCCTTTAAGCGTCTGCTTGGCAGGGCTGTCCTGGCTGCTCCTGCTCAATGCAAGCTACTACTGCATCCTCACTTCCGGCTTTTCCTAAACCCTGCCCACCTTTGTAAAGAGTTTCCTTGCTAAACTCAAATTACCCATTCTGAGAGGGCCACATGCTTCCTGCCGGGCTGCTGACTGATACAAACCCCATTTATAAGACAAAAAATCTTTGACAGCTGCCAATGTTTGTAAGATTTTTGGTGCAAATGGTTTTCTTAAAGCAAAGTCTATCCCATTCCCCAGGCTGTATAGAGCTGGAGAAAGCATTTTATTTTTGTCTGGCAACAATGAGGTAGAGTTTAGACAGGTTCAAGGCCAGTCATTCACACGTTTGTTCTGCAAAGCACTTATCGGCCCCATCATACCACAGCTCTGGTTGGGCCTCAGTGGGTATATAAGAGGAGTAACACACATGATCTGTGCCCACAACGTGGTTTCAAATGATTGGTGGAATCAAGACACTCACAAAAGAAAGAAAACACAAGACAATACAGGAGATGTGAGTATAAAGTGGATTTGTTAAAAATTCTAGCATGTAAAAGCTAGAAGAGTCATCCAGGTTGGTTTTCACATCTACAGATGAGGTCCCGGAGGTTAACCAGTCTAGGGTTCGTATCAGAGCTAATCCTGAACCCAAGCCTGGTCTTCCAGGCTGGATCTACTCTTCCACCCCACATCCCTTTAACCAATGTCCCGTGGACATGGTGGTTTCATCTCCCACAAGGTTATCTAAGGCAGGATTGTGGCCGATTGAAGTTTTCAACATGTGTATCAGAACTCATATGCCTGTGAGTCATGGTAGGTTTAGACGTTATTTTAAAAAATAGCAGTCACAGTTACTTAGTAATTGCAAATGTGATGCATAATGTAATCTGGTGGGTCAGGAACCCAAAAGAGAGGGTTGACCTGCTGCTGCCCAGGAGAGTCCCTCAGCTTTAGCTCCTTGCATGGTCAGCCCTTTTTCTGGCCCTGATGGGCCATCCCTGGGAGTTGCTGGTGGTTACACATCTTGGCATGACCTCTCAGAACGGCAACCACCCTGTGTGGATGCGTCACTGAGGGGATCTTCCTGTCCCCCACGGGCACTTCAGAAGTAAATGTGTCTCTCAGGACCAGTTGAAAGAGCTGGAGAGCAGAAGCAAGAGGGACAAATGCCTTCCTGAAGGTAAAGTCACAGCCGAATCTTGGTGCTTCTTTGTGGCGCTACTTCTAATTAGAATCTCATTTATTTTCTTCTGACATAGCCCTTCTCAGATCTTCAGAGAGCGCCTGTCATTTCTTGACAGAGTTTCCAAGGACTCTTGGCCTTTCAGATGTAACAACTCCAAAGACAGCATCCAGGATGAAAGTGGCATTTGGAGACCCCAGATGGCTCCGGGCATGCCTGGCAGCAGCTAAGCCAGTGTCACTCAGCTCTTAGAGGACATTCTCTGACATTCACGTGTGGACAGCTTTTGCCATCCTCCGACACCTCCACAAGACACCTCAGGGCTTCACTCACAGGAACTAATTGCGAGACGAAGCGTCAAAAACATTTGCTGACTCCTTCTGGAAAAGAGGTCCTCTCTTCTCATTCATAAATCTGTGGGATTTTAGAGCAATAAGACCATGTGGGGATTGAAACTTCATTTTGCAGAATATTTAGGCTCAGACAGGTTCCATCAGTGCTGCCCCATTTTAATTCGCACACAGCTCACGTGCAGGTCTTGTTAAAATGCAGGTTCTGACGCGTTAAGTCTGGTTTGGGGCCTGAGTCTGCATTTCTAGCAAGTTCCTGGAGAATGCCTGGGCTTCTTATCAGGGCCACGCTTCAAGTAGCAAGGGGCTATCTTTCCTGTGTAAAGGCAGAGAAGTGGACAGAACCAGGACCAAAACCACTTTTCCTCATTCTTATTCTACATGGTCTTTCCCTCCTGGGGTGAAACATGGAAGCTCCCTTCCTCTCCCCCACCCCCCATAGGTCCACGATCATCAAAAGGGGGAGCGGGGAGAGCAGCTACCTTTGCAGTGACAGGCATGGCGGATAAGAACTCTCTAGAAGAGAGATTGGAATAGGGAGGGAAGAAGAGAATAAAAAGAGATGAGTATAGAATTATTGAGGCTAGCTTACTTTGGTTCTGGCCCAGAAAATGCCTCCAACTGAACTAATCATTTTGAGATTGTGCAATGCCTGCCCTAAATAGGAGGATAGAAATAGATTCCCATCTAAAAGAAATTGCTGCTTCAAAATTTAGAATATGTATCTTACAAAACTACACCTGCGTTTAGCTGTTGGTCGTGAATATGCGCTATAAAGTCTAACCAAAAAATCCATCAAATAGATATTGATGTAGAAGCTTTACATCAAGTAGAATCTTGGAAATATCAGTGATTAAATCATGGTGTGTGTCTATAAAATACGGCCATAAAATGTGCCATGAAAAATGGAAAAATTAGAACAAGAATATGCTCTTGGGAGTTAAAAAACATGGTTTCAGAAATTAAAATATCAGTGGAAAGAGACGGAAAAAAGGATAGGGTATGAAGTCAGAATGTTCAACATCAGATTAATAGAAATTTGAGAAAGTAATTAGAAAATAGAGGGAAGGACACAAATTATTAAGAGAAGAAAAATTTACAGAGCAAAAATGAAGTATGAACCTTTGAAATGCAAGAGGCTGCCCGGAGCTGAGCAGAACATGTGACAGGAGACTCTCACCTGTCGCATCACTGGGTGGTCTCAGACAGAGCACAAAGGATAAAGGAAAAATGGTGACAGCTCATCGTGAGAAAACAAAGAGTGACAAATCAGACTGGCATCAGAATTCTTCTCCACAATTTATTTTCAGCAATAATAGATGCTGGAAGACAGTGGGCCAAGAAATTCGAAGTTTGTGGGGACGATAAGTTTGTTCTTAGAATTCTACACCTAGTCAAACTACCAGTAAATGCAGGAGCAAAATTAAAATCGTTTCTAGACATAAGAGGACTTTCTGAGATAATTTCTGTTCAGAAGACAATATGGAATCCAAGAGATGGTGTCTCTTTTCAGGAGCTCAACAAAAAGAGACCCCAGGAGGGTACCTGTGCAGCACTTCTAAAATTAGATCTATCAGCTAGAAGCAAAGTTAGTGAGCTGTAAGGAGCAAGCCTTCGAGAAGAATGGAATTCAAACAATAGAGAGAGCTCAGCGAACTTCTGTAAAGGCCAGAGTGCCAGTGTTTGGGAGTGGGGGGTGGGGACTGGGATAAGGCAGGTGAGGCGTCTGCTTTGGGCACAAAATTTACAGGGCACCAAAATGCTCAGGCATCGGGATAAATAATATTTTAATGCAATATTTTGTACAAATCTACATTAATGCGAAAAAATCTATGATGAGCAAAATATCAAAATTTTATACAAAGACAAGATGCAATCCTGCACTCACGTGATCCTGTCTCATTCTAATCCTGACCCCGGTTCCAATAAAATGTTACAAACACAGGCAGCTCATTTGCAGGCCATAGTTTGCCATTTGATCTTTTATATGTTGCATTAAAATCTTGTCTTCATTACAAAGTTTTTTGGTCCCCCCTTAAATTTTTCACTTCAGGTAAGCCTCATTTTCTTCACTCTTCGCATCTCTCCTCCTCCCCCGCCTCTTTCAACAACCCTTTAAAAATATAAAAGCCATAGTTAGCTCCTGGGGGCTGCAAAAAACAGGCTGGTGGT